TGGGAGTCTTGGTGGAAGTCCTGTTGTCCTTGAATTTTGCGTTTTTATAGGGTTTTTGCGATCGGCTTCTTACTAATTGGATAGATCTTACATCACTGTTTTCCAATTGGTCATCCACCTGTCTCCAGGTGTAAATAGAGCTTCGTAAAGCTCGCGAGAAAGGTCGGTTGGAGATGGTTTATCCGACACCATCTTTCTCGACTCTGATCTCATTTAATTGTTGACTATGACACCTACTCTTTTTGATATTTTTTTTCTAGTTTCGTTTTGCTTTCTAAACTACGTCTTAACTTTAATATTTTAAATTTTCTTCTTTTATATCTAAAAGTTTGTTTTTCCCGTTATTCTTTATGAGCGCTGATGTCAAAGTCGGGTATCGCCGATTCGATACTTATATAATTTGCTTTCTTGACGATTTAACTTAACAAACTGTTTTTTTTCTTATATCTTTCCCTTTTGCGGGGGCTATTTCCGGGGCCTCACAGATCGTGCCGGCGCTTCGAAGTGGACTCGCCAACTAAAACAGCGGTGCCTGCGGTGACAACTCTGTTGGCACCGCAGGTGGCACCCCTGCCTGCGGTAGACGGGGTTGGAACCCCGCCCACGCGCGTCTCAACAGATAAGGCCATTCATATACTGGTCACACGCTTGCAATTAAAATATCGAAAAGTGAAAAAAATATTTTTTTCTTTAATCTTCTTTACCACTGAGGCGCCCCCTAGGACTTAGCGCCTGGAGCGGCTGCTCAGTTCGCCCTATGGTAGGGCCGGCTCTGGTGACACAGCCACTCGAAAGTGACCTTTCACCCGAATATGACTCTTTCATCCGGTTACTACTTGATCAACTGGACATGACTTTCCATCCACACCATTCGAGATTCGTTCTTCCACTTCGGTTATAATGCATAGAACAACGACAGTGACAACAACGAAACATTAAGCACTGTTTTCATGTTTAATTAAAGAATGTTTAAACAACTATAGCTGACCAAAACAACTTATAGTCTACAGACGTTTACACTGTATTTCATCTGGTGTTCTACTGCAAAAAAACTTTCACCACGAAATAACGAATATTCGCCACTAGAAGGCATACGAGAGGAAGACCATTTCAACATTGAATTTAAATAAATAAAAAAAATACATACAGTACTCAGTTTGTGTACTCCTAACCAAGATCATAATTAACAATTAAATTTATACATCGAATTTTCATGATTGTTTATACATTTTTATATTTAACTTAATAAAACTTATTAAATTGACTTTGCTTCAGTGTTTTATGAACTCGCGAAGTCTTTTACATTAATACGGATACTGTATATTTGGAAATTCCTAAATTTTCCTGTACATATTTTCCGATATATTTTAATTTAAGATTAAGCGTTATTCTTTGCATTTTTTAGTATTAATTGAAAAAATATTTTTGCAGACTACAGTTTAAAATCTCCGGTCTAGAGAAAAGATGAAGACGTAAGAACATATGAGTTGACATGATAAAAGTTGATATGACTGTTTATTACACAAACTTACTTTTTAGATTTATCTATTAGAAACTATTAATTTAATCCTACAAAATCAGATATTTATGAGAGATATCTGTGTAAATTCAAAATTTACATAGTTATCTCTCAGGTTTTCGAATTTGTTTTTTCCAATCTACTACTAACCTTACTAAGAGAATAATTTGATTTAGATTCCGTATATCATTCTTGATTAAACAATTACTTTCTTGCGTGCTCTAGTAAAATTAAAATAGAAGATTTTGAATTCCTTGATTCCCATCCGAATGGTGTACCNCGTGAACATCACACAGATTAATATGTACCCCTAAGTCTCTGGAACAGAATACATGCACCAGTGAACCTACAACTACGCGATTTATATTTTAAAAATAATTAAACTCACTTAGCATTCAAAACTTGAAAAAAACAAATTTGCTGATTAAATACGGACAACCGTTTAACTGAAATAAAACGGGTTTTTCCCTCGCTATGGATGTCTGCCTAGTTCAGTTCAGCCACATTCCGCTACAGTTCGCCTTTATTATCAGTTCGAAATGGGGTGGTTCCATAATACCCGCAGTGTTCCATAATACCACCTTCTCCTCTACTGTATATTTGGAAATTCCTAAATTTTCCTGTACATATTTTCCGATATATTTTAATTTAAGATTAAGCGTTATTCTTTGCATTTTTTAGTATTAATTGAAAAAATATTTTTGCAGACTACAGTTTAAAATCTCCGGTCTAGAGAAAAGATGAAGACGTAAGAACATATGAGTTGACATGATAAAAGTTGATATGACTGTTTATTACACAAACTTACTTTTTAGATTTATCTATTAGAAACTATTAATTTAATCCTACAAAATCAGATATTTATGAGAGATATCTGTGTAAATTCAAAATTTACATAGTTATCTCTCAGGTTTTCGAATTTGTTTTTTCCAATCTACTACTAACCTTACTAAGAGAATAATTTGATTTAGATTCCGTATATCATTCTTGATTAAACAATTACTTTCTTGCGTGCTCTAGTAAAATTAAAATAGAAGATTTTGAATTCCTTGATTCCCATCCGAATGGTGTACCGAGACGAGCGGTGAAAGTACCGCTCTGGGGGACCCGGGATTGAATCCGGACGGATCGAAAAATCCTCAGGAATTTTTCGGGAGGTGGTCCGTCCGGTCCGTAGGTCGGGCCCCGTCCCTCACCACCCGGCCGCCCCATTGTGGACCCTTGCCCGAATCCATAATGGGCTTGCAAAATAAGGCCCTCTTAGTGCCCACAGGGCGGAAAGAGTTATAAAAAAAAAAAAAAAACGATTGGTTACTGTATAATTTATAAAGCAAAGACTAAGACGATAATTTTTATATTTCATTGTACGTTCTGGGAGTCTTAGAAAGGTAATTGCTCGTAATTTCATACATAATAGCAATAGAATGATGATAACAGTATCTGACTATGAAATATGACGAAGGTAAATATCGAGTAAATTTCCGTACGTTTCTATATTCAACAGTTGACTCAACGGTGAGAGAACAACGTTTCTAAATGGACCGTTGAGTTCTCCGTTGAGACTAGTGACGTCCTAAAAATTGCGAATTTTTGATTGCCATCTAGCGGAATTTTTCAGAAACGATTTGGCAATTGTGCTAAAGTGGGAACGAGTAGTTCGGTTTGAGAAAGAGTAAATAAGACGAAAGTGTTAGTTGAAGATGACTTCAATGTCAGAAGAGAGAAGAAAAGAGATGGAAGAAGAGATGAACAGGTCAGAATTAAGTCAATTTTCTCAATCGATGGAGCAATTTCCGAAATAAACTTAAATTTTCATTTAGATTAAAATGCAATCAGTTTATTGTTAAAAAGTAAAAACAATAACAACAAATTAATTGTAAAGAATTTTTTTTGCATAATAATTAGAAATCGCTTGCATTATTATTTATTTAGTTAAATATTCGTAATTTTTGGAAATTTTTTATATAAAGATGATGATAATGGCGACATCTAGTGCTGAATAAATAAATTTTTCTTTGTGGTGAGGAAGATTTATAAGTTTGGAGTTTGTCGTTTCGAAAGAAGATCGGGTTATGCCTTCTGATAATAGGAGGATAAACGGACCGGAAAATACAATTCCTCCGGTTGTTTTCATGGAAAAGAAACAGTTAATTAAACCTGATCGTTTAAGGAACGATCGTAGAAGGATGCTTGATTGTAGGAATCCTGTTCTCCACGTGAGTGTTGTTAAAGAAGCACGTGGATCTGCTTATTTGGAAGTTGGAAAGACGAAAATAATATGTTCCATTTATGGTCCTAGAGAAGTTCCAAAAATGCAAGGTTTCCAAAATAAAGGACAATTATTTTGTGAATTTAAATTTGCGCCATTCTCGCATAATAGACGTCAATCTGTTAATCGTGAGAAAGAATATTCAAGTATTTTAAAAGAAGCTATTGAGCCCGTAGTGTGTTTGTACAAATTTCCAAAATGCACTATCGATATCTTTATTCTCGTTCTGGAAGATGATGGCGGAGTTTTAAGTAATGGAATCACTTGTGCTGGTGTTGCTCTGATGGATGCTGGTATTGATTTGTTCGATATGGTTATTGGCTGTTCACTTAGACAGTGGGATGAACTATGTTTGCTTGATCCCACTTTGGAAGAAGAGTATGTTAGTAATGATTCTGGTGTTGGAATTAATAATGGCAATGTGACGATTGCTTTCATGCCATCTTTGAAACAGGTTGCGGCTCTGCATCTCCAAGGTGAATTGGAAGCTTCGATTGTAAATAATGCACTTAAAGTTTTGATGGAAGGTTGTTGGCATATTTATCCTGTAATTCAGAATTGTGTAACTCGGGCATTAAAATATCAGTTGAAGGAGAAAAAATTAGATCCGTCAAGTATATAATGACTTTTAAATGTAATGTTTGAATGATCATTAAAAATTTATAACCTTTCAATTTTGTTTATATTTATTAATATTCCAATAATTACAATGTCTTAATATATTGCTAATTTACCACATATACGTGTAATGAAAGCTAAAATCACAGAATTACATTGATCTTTATCAAATGTGTAAATATTTGATAACAAACTCTTAAACAGTTTGTTAACATTTGGTATATAACTTCCTAAAGTACTCTTTTTCTAACTTCTGTTATACACATATTCTGACTAGAAGTTCTGTTTTAAGAAAAATGTAACAACCCACATATAAATTTACAATCACATCTGCATTGATCCAAGGTTGACAACATGCCCAATGCTAGTAATTTACCATCAGGCTAACATTTATTTATAATTGGAAGATAGTGAAGGATCAACACTAATGCTAATGTTAACACTAATGTTAAGCCAACAATTTTGATTGACTTGGATCTTATTTTAAGGTGATCAGACATTCCTGATTTCCAGGACTGTCCTGTTTTTATTATTTAATTGTAGAATCAATCTTCAAATAGAGCAATTTTATTAACATGCCAATATCATATCACCAATTTATAGATCAATAAATAAATACATTTTAAAAAATAACTAAACTTCGGTCAGTTTTAGACCCCATTTTCACTGATTCTGAAATATGTCTGCATTGTAAATGTTATGGTCAGTCTACCTGCATTGTCAATGAACAATGGTGCAAGGCCAGTAATGAACATTGTTAGTGTTGGTGGTTTTCACAGCATTGCATTTAATTACCATCCAACATCATTAATATTGGAGTGATATGTATTGATATTGCTAATATAGACAGCAGTAGCCAAATTTCAGCATACAAAATAACATGCATGAAAGTTCTGTTTTATATTTTAAAATAAATTTTAAGCAAACATGATGCTTTAAACACCCTTATATTATTCTTTAACATAAGTGTGTATAAATTATGTAATTTTGATGCATATCAGTTATTTGTTGTGCAATTTATATTAATCTATTAATAAAATTTATAAAGAAAATAACAAATAAGGATTTGTGTTACAGTCTGTCCAACAATAATAGAACATGCATAATTGCCTAGAAACTATTATTTCATGAAATTCGTTAATACATTTTATAGTAAAATAATGAACTATTATTGCACAACCTTGAAGTAAAATTATTATTAAACAAAAGAACTAGATATTAATATCAAAAAATAGGCTATCCAATATTAATAGAACGTCTTGACTTATGATAAGTTCAAGTTATAATTAGTAGCTGATTTTGCTACTGTTTTTGGAGACGCTTAAAAATACAGTTAGGCATTGAACTAACTAAAGATAGTAGTCATTTGTGCTTAAATGAGAACAGCTTTTAGTTTAGTGATAGTATTGTATTACTTTCTGTAAGTTTGGAAAATCAAGTCAGTCCAAAGATTTTCATAGGGTTTAAATCCACACTGAAGGTGGCCAGTTCAAAAGTCAGACTTTTTGCACAAAAAAAGGATAATGTTGATTTTGAAGCTGGAAGCTCACATTGTCCTGCATGTATTTGAAGTCCTGTTCAGCAGTTCTCTGTCCATAAGTTAGAAGCTGCCTCCAACAAGCTCTTCATAAGACTATCATCAGTGACCCTCTTTGAATAGTCTTTTGTTTGCTCAATAATACTTAATACATTCATCTTGACTTCTTATGTGGTTAAAATTGGATAATTAAGATTTATAATGTTGTGATTAAATGAAAACTTATAATCTAACTAATTTAAACTGCTTCTGTAAAGGTTAAACCATGCTGGACAGTTTATTCAAAATTTCGATTATTTATATATTAAAGATGAATTAATTTTGCATTCTTACATTCTAACATATTTAGAGTTATATTAAAATTTTAAGAACTCTTTAATAAGTTTTCTTATAAGCTTAATGTAAATATTTTTAAAATAAAGTCAAAACTAATTTTGAAGGAAAGAGAATATTCAAACTAATTTATCAATATAACAAAGTTTTAGCATTTCTAAGCATATTGATTTGATGCAACAAACAGCAAAAAAAATTCACAATAATTTAAAGAAGTAATTTTAAAAAAAACAAAAACTTTTATTTCTGTAATGATACTAAAGAAGACATTTTATCATAGAAGTATTAATAATGCATCCTGAATATACAGAAGTTATAAATTATATAAATTTATTTAATAAATTTGTAAATTTATATGATTCTGATAGAATTTTTATTTTTTTGCATTTGGATTGCCCTGTCCTAACCTACTTTGGTCTTGCAAATATGCAATGTTGATATAAGTTTTTAACATTACTCAAATGTTGCTTAAAAATATAGAGCAATATGATAAATGCACTGAAATGTTTCAGTATAAATGAGAATAAATTGTTTTAAATTTTTCAAAGATGCTACTCATAGGACTGTTTTGAATAACATGGTGCCTGAGGCAAGTCTGCTGTTTTTAATTGGATTTCCTGCCTCAAGGACCTATTGCATATAGATGCCCCTTTACTATTTTCACATTATTTAGAAATGGAAAGGATCCTAATACACAAAGAGCCCCTGGAGTGTACAAAATTTTTATTCATTTTTCCTATCACATCTATTGTCCAGTATGAGAGACATTAGGTGTAATAGGGACAGTATACATTGGCTCAACAAAAAGGTCATTTTTGAAAAACAGATTCAAGAACACTTATGACATAGCACACAGAAAAGCCAACACTGTCCTCTGTTTACACCTCAGATGAATATTGGAATGTTGTGGCAAAGGAACCACCTCTTCTCTAGAGGACAGCAATGGCTGAACACATTACAGATATCTTCATATCTCTAATATAGCCCCTGGAAATTTTTAAAGCTAATTAAAGGGTAATTGTATCAATTACAAGCATGAGAAACCTGTTTCCAGAGCATGGCAAGTCTATTATGATATGTCACCATGGGCTTGTATGTATTCAAAAAAAAGTTACTAATTTCTGTAATGTAATAGCATTTGATCATCAGATTTCATTAGTTCAAGTTTTTGTGTTCCATTGTACATTAGCATTCCATTTTAGAATTTAGTTGTTCCTGAGGAAGTCCTTTTTAGGCCAGTGGTGGTGAATCTGAGTATGCATGCCCAAAGTGGCAATTAAGGAGAAATCATCTGACACATAATGTAGCATACAGTTTTGATTTATCATCTAGCTTTTTCAATCATGCTTTTGATATATCACCTAATCATTCTTTTTCAATCAGAATTTTTACATTTAATCTAATTAAAGCTTATTCATTTAATTTCTTTAAATATTATTATTCAAAATCTGACATGCATAAACATCTTTAAAGGTAGATATGCTTACTATTGATATATGGCAGGCAGTCTCAAAAAGGTTTGTCATCCCTGGTATAAGCCAAAAATGTTCAAACTGCATTTTTTTACCCTCCTGGATTGGATGCAAAGTTATTGTAATGTATTGTACATAGTTATTGTCCAGTTTAAGTATTTATGATGTATTTTTAGTATCCCTTCCAATTTGGCATCTGAGGTGGTTCCTCTCTGAGGCCTCTCTGTCTTATCTAAGCTTATTAGCACAACCCTGGCTGCTTGGAAAAAATGTTTATCATAACTGTATAGAGAATCATCACTTCTCATCTTACTGGATTTCACATTCAATAGGCTGAGGCATCCAATGAAATCAGAGTAAAAGTATAATTGATTCATTAACTATAAAAATAAGACAATGATAATGACTGTTTCATTTTTTATAATAGATTTCCATATTGAATATAAGATTGAAGTAATGGCAGACAAATCTTGCAATTAAAAAGTTCACATCTAACTTTTTCTTTGCTTTGATTATCCCATTTTTATATAGGATTGCTACTTTTAATGAGTCTTATTCTGGTGCACAATCTTTATTCTTCATTCTTCAAAACAAACATTCATTATTTCAATATTTTGTCTGATTACTTTCATTTATTGCATCTCTCTATCTTTTTCTTGAGGCCATTCTTCTCTGTTTAACTTCAATTTCCATTGTCATAATGTTCCCACATAGTTTTCATTTTTTTTCTCATAATGTGTCTGAACTACCTCATTCTTGTCTTTTGCATTTCTCTGGCCAAATCTGTTGCCTTTACTGTTCTTTTTTTTTTTTCTTTTTTTTTTTCTTTTTTTTGCTCATTCTAATTCAGTCCCATTATTGTCATTCCATACATCCATTGCAGCATTTTTATTTTTGCAATGCTCATCCTGTTTATGTTAGCTCTTTTTATATTATATGCTAGTTGTTTGTCTAGATAAAATCTTGTAATTCAGTTTTCAGCCACTTCCCAATTTCTGATCTAGTTGAAACTTTACATACATATGTATTCCCAATGACAATATACTTTTTACAGTTTATAAACAATTTTAGCACAAAATTAGTGAAGACTCACAGAGAATCTATAGGCCTATATTAATTGAAACAGGGTTTCATTTTGTCTGGCTTAGATTGAGTAAAAGGTTGGGGCTAAAAATACATTTGAGGTATCAAATTAAAACTCTTATCTTATATATTATGTTGTTGAAGAGAGATTTGAGAAAGGTGCAATGGTTCAGTCATGGCAAGGTGGCAAACATACAATGTTAAGTCTATGGGACTTAAATGTGACCCCTTCATCCCCTCTGGGTGCACCACTGGAGATGTGGTGCACTCACAGGAGATGAAGGGACTCTTACACCAAAGCATGTATATAGTAAGCAGTGAAAATTCATTGTTAAATTCTTCCTTCAATGGTATCAGTTTCCCCTAGTAACGGTTGTGTAGACTCGTTTATTGCCAGGTCACACCACCATGTTATACCACCATTATTAGCTACATTAAAAACAAACTTTTTTACATAAGTTTGTTTTTTACCAATATGATGATCTATCTCTATTTTTTGTGTTTGAAAGCTTTATGATGTCTCCAACTCATGGAGACTTCATGGGTTGAAGACGATCTCCAGAGTATTACAGTTTATCATAATGATGTTAAAATTTTGTTTATAAAGATACAAGGAAGTATTTGTGAACATTTTTTACATATAATTAGACCAAACACATTTCTACAGGTTATTTAGTTCTTTAAGTAAATTATTTACTTACATTATAGACATGCAACATGTTCTAATAAATTTAATTATAAATACCAATAACTAAAGTAATGTAAAAAAATTAAAAGTTTATAATACTAATTCAATTATTCAAGAATTAAATAGAAAATGTAATAATAATCACAGATTATAAATAAAACTATTGAGAAGAATTGTGTATAAAATAATTGGAAATATTTTAATAGATTGTTCTGAAATAAGGTAGTTTTTATCTGTATATGAAATTATTATCCTAATTAATTTGCTAGAAATATATAAAATAACATTTATTGATATAATTTTTATATGTAAACTATAATCATATACAGTTGATTCCGTTTAATTTGAACAACCACTTTTTGGGCAAATCTCAAAGAACAGAAACTAAACTAATAAATTAATACATAATTTAAACCAGGCATGGCCAACATATGGCCCACGGGCCAGATCCAGCCTGTCTAATGAATTTATGTGGCCCGCGATCAATATTTCAAAATAGCTCGTTGAAAAATTCTGACGCCTAAAAAAAACTCACCATGCGTTTAGAATTAACCCTCCATTACAAATCTCTTAAGTGCAGCGTAGAGTGTTGATAAAGCATGATAATGTGAAAAATATATCTGTAATCTCTATCTACAATTCAGTCTCTACGGGGTGACATCACAATGAGATCTCGCACCACCTCAAAATCTTCCTGGGGCAATCTCTGGTTCAGCCTGTGGAAAAAGTTTTCTTTCCAATCTGGCCTGGGGGCAAAAACTGTTGGACACCCCTGATTTAAACACTTAATTGGGACAGTAGCAGAAAAGGAAGTTAGCAATTTTTGATATATTTTAGGGATTTTTCGAAAATATGTCAACACTATGTACTGTACACTAATATTTCACAACACTAGCATGATGTGAATCAGTTATCTATTATCATGAGTCTGGCAAGTACATGTCTCTTAAGAGTCTACCATTACTATAGTATTATATCTAGTGATATTCATTTACAGTGTTGATTTTATTTAAAATTTTTAAATCTGCCAAGATGCCAAGAAATGATTTACATGAAAATACTTTCAAGTAAAATTGCTATGCTGGATAAAATTAAAAGCCAGCTATTAATTACAAGCAATCATAGACTTGCTGATATAACTGGTGTACCACAAGCTACCATTGCGCATCTCCTACAAGAAGAAAATCAACTGTGTTGAGGAGTGGGCACAGAAAGAAATTCCATGAACATTCAAAAGAAAGCATGATGGAAAAGATCCAGCAACTGCATTTTGGACCATAGGTCCAAAATGCAGTTGCTTATGCTGACTCCAACATCTGCACATGTAAAACCTGTCTTAGTATGTCTATGATTATTAATACATATTGAGCTCAATAAAGAATAAGGATGGAGGACTTAGAGTTAGAGTTCACAGCTTTGTGTACTGACTCCAAAACACTATACAATATATATGACTCCATTTATCAACACTCAGCCAAACTTGTATATGAAAAATCTATTAGTGTCCACAGGTTCAGTAAAAAAAAATCAATTTTAAAAAATAAATTTGATTAAAATTAAACAGCTAGGTCTTCTATAACTTTGGAAGTTGTTTGTTATTATTATTATGTTGGGTTTAGTGGGTTATACTCAGTTGACACCGGTGGCTGTGTACTATGCTGGAACAGAGTCAAGGCATAGCAATCAAAACAAAACTAAAATTAAATAAGTGTGTCAGTGTCTGTATTCAGGAATTTCCTAACAATGTGGCATGTATTCAATATAGTGGCCTTCTGTAGTGTGATGTATGTATTTCTACTCAATTGTAATGTTCCCAGGCTTATATATGCTCAAGCCTCTGTAGTATTACTATCAATTTTAAATATGCTTATAATGGACTGAAAATTTTTGTTAATATAAATAGATGTATTTTATTATTTTCATTTAGGTTTGAGCAAGAAATTGCTTTTCCTGGTGATCCTTCTCATCCAAGAAATAGTCCTCTTTCAAATGTGCCAGAATCTAACACAGATAATTCAAATATTGATAATAATGAAATAATTGAAGTATGTGCTGAACCATCCATTACACCTCCTCCAGCTGTTGTAAATGAAAATGAATTAGTTCCTTTAACTGGTAAGCTTATTTAATTATAATTTATTGTTTAATACTAAAAGTAATCAATATTCTGAGTAAATTTTAGCCTTTTAATTGGTTTAAATAGTATTGAGTTTGGAATCTAGATTTAAGTTCATATTGATGATAATTTTTTCATCCAGAACAAAAATAAAAAAAATACAAAAGCAGTTTATCACACAAAGTTTCTTCAAACCAAAGTTTAATATACACTTACAATTTTTACAATTATTAAAATGTTTTTATGTAATCAAATTTTTCTTTTTCTTGTATTAAGATGAATGATGAGTACACAACACAAGATAAGGAATACTGCAAAATACAGTATATGCAATCTATTATATGCAGGTAATACATGCTAAATTAACAAATGTTTTCAAATACATTAAGTAGCCATCCTAAATTCTAAATATGAATGGCACTATTCTAAAATGAAAAAGAAATTTAATGTAAGGAATTCTTACAAAAGAACATTTATTGATTATTTGAAGTTGGAAGACAGTATTTACATTTTAAATATAAAAATATAAAAAAGATACAAAGGCTGATTGCATTATTGCAGAGTGGTGGCCTTGGCTCTATATTTGCTAGAGGATGCTATAAATATTATAAAATAATTAAAACAAAGTTTAGGAAGATGCAAAAAATGGACTGAAGCAAACTTAGAAATTGTGCATCTATATTATTTAATAAATAATTGCCATGATGATTAGGGACCTGCTTGAAGGCAAAAACTATTTGATGCTTACTGCAAAACATCCTTGAACTCAGGTGAATGTCAGATTCAAAGGACATAACATTTCAGTTTATTCATTCAAAAAAATCCCTGTTAAGTGCTTATAAAAGTGAAGAAATTATATTTTTTCTGAAAATGTATTCATTGGGTAAAATTAAAAAACAGTACATATGATTGATAAAAAAAGATTTATTCGAGATCAGGAGATCTGAAGGAAGGTTCATTGGATGACCAAGTAATATTTGATAAATTAAAGTCATCACATAAAATAACTTTAAGTTGTTGATAAATTGTTTTAATTTATATTACTTCCAGCTGCTTTCCTACTGATTTTTAATATATAAATATAGAATTTATATATATTCTATTATATTTATGCCAGATAATAGGCTTCTGAAAATTGGTAGCATCTTAAATGAAAAAATAACAGCATGTGATGGTTGTGTGGCACTGCACATGTCTGGTTTTTAGCAATGGACAAATTCATCATGAGAGCAACATTGTAAGGTCTGGTAATTTTTGTCAGATTTGACAATATTTTAAATAAATTGATGATTTGGCAATGATTTTTTTTCAGTCTGGCGATTTTTCTATATTATTATAAATTTACTCAAGATTTATTAGACTTTTTTCATATAAACAGGGTCAGAATCTAGACCAATGGTTTTCAACCCATGTTGTCCATGTTGTGCAAACTTGCCATGAGTGTTTCGTGAGAAAAAATTTAGTTTTTTTGCAAATTTATTCCAATGTACTATAATGTATTCGTTTATTCATAGACAATTTCATGTTTACTATTTTATTCAAAACAATAAACTTTATTAGTTCATTGCTTTATTGTTTCATGAGAACTGTATATATGGAATTGCTTTTTGATTTTGAATATATTGATGCTAATGCTCCACATAAAGAAAGCATAGTAGAAGTTTTGTAGCCTCAGAAAGGTTGAAAATTTCACTTGTCTATGTAAACTAGGCAATTACAATTTCCTAAAGCCAGATCCAAAAGGAACCCATAGATTGATTTGTAAACTTTTATTTCTTTATATTTGAATTTAAATGGTTAGTAAACAAAGTGAATATTCTCTAAACCAATGAATGAGCTTTTGGGCTTTCATTTATTGAAAACACCTGTTGAATATGGATAGAAGGAAGTTTGGAATCAGATCAGTTGGAAAATTATTGGTGTCAGATTGTTTCAGCAAAATTCAGTAGCATGTCATTTCTATTTAATTGCATTTTATTTGTTATTGCTCTGAATTTTTTATGACACAATTCTTATTTATATTGAAAATACAGAAGAATCAACTTACCAGTTTAAGTAATTGCAAATAAAGTAAAAATCATTGTTGTGCATAAAGTTTATTTGATGTGATAAAGATTTTTCATATAAAGTTAGAACATGAATTTAGCAAAAAAGAAGAGAAATGAATTTTTAATTAACTTCAAACTTTTTTCAGCATCTTCACAATGTACAGGGTGATTATAATTAAAGAATAGGTGTTCAGAGCTCTCTGTAAAAAAAACTACTGTGCAATTCTCACCCAAATTGATTGAGATTTGCCCAGTAGTTTTTCTACAGTGGTTTACATACTGTTCTGATAATGTGGTTTCAATATTCATGAAAAAATTTTACTTTAAAATTCAGCTGCTGGAATAAACTTTGGCATTGTTGTCCTCTTAATGTGCTTATTACTTAAGTTTACTAACTCTTTTACATTTACTGATGGGCCATGTACTAACCTATTTACATTCACCAGTAGGCAATTTGCTTGGTGTCTATTCCTTATTTTCATAATGTGTGCAACAACTTCACACAGGTAATGCATTCTGACATTGTGTTGTGCAGAAAATGCAGTTTTTAGAACATGGGAATGGAAGGCATATAGGGTTTTATCTTTAGTGTAACTGTCAATTCCACATTATGATTGCATTTTGTTTATTAACTTCCAAAATTTGTTAGAAAATTACATGATATGCACATTTAGGGGATGATAATGCCAAATTTTATTGTAACAACTGAATTTTAATGTAAAAATTTTCCTGAAAATTGAACCATGTACTCAAGACAGCATGTATACCAAATTTGATTAAGATTTGACTTATAGTTTTTCTACAGAGGACTCTGAATACCTATGTTTTAATTATGATTATGCTGTAATTAGAAAGATCCTAAATTGAACAGTTTACTTGGGTTTAAATGTCATTGTTTTGAACAGAGAATTTATTTACGTAATTTTTACATTAATGTGTTTTGCTTTTTTTCTTACTGAATCTTTTTCTTTCATTTTGTTATTGATTATTTTTCTGATTTTCAATTATTTATCTAAAGAATGATAATTAACACGTGAATTTTTCTTTATTTATTTAATAGCTAAAGCACCTCCACCACCACAAGACTCTCAAATGAATCATCCTCAGTTTATTCCTCATCAACTACAACGTGGTCCTCCTCCATCCCATCCTTCATTTAGACCTTTTGGTGGTATGAGAGGACCCCCAGGACCTCCTGGTCCTCCAGGTATGCATGGACATCATGGTCCACAAGGAATGCAAAGACCTCCTCCTGTAATGATGAGACCAATGCACTCTAATATGCCAGGTCCTGGTCCAATGCAACCTCCAATGGGGCCAATGGGACCTGGACCCATGGGAAGTGGGCCAATGAATATGAATATGCATCATAGTGGTGGTCCAATGAATATGGGAATGCATCCAGGACCTATGCCACCAATGGGACCAAATTATTCTAATCCAATGTCAGGTCCAATACATCCTGCAATGTCACAACCAATGCCTCATAATTTTAATAATGGAGTGAATAGTTCACCACCAGTAACTACACAATTGCCATCATCATTAAATTCATCTGCCATAATGTCATCACCTGCTATTTATGCGGCTCCTCCAATGAAAAGCCTTCATACAGATAAAATGGGTAATGGTAGAACAATGGAATCATCGTCTGGACTCAATATTTCTACCTCGCAAAAAATAGACAGACATCATGCAGGAAAAAGTTCTGATGATCATTCAAATCAGTTATATTTTGGAGGAACAGAAGAAATGATTTTTTCAAAGAAAAGAGAAAAGAAAAGAAAAGTAGTAAGAATGGCAGGTGGCCAAGTATGGGAAGATAATTCACTTCATGAATGGGAAGGTGGTAAGTTTGAAACATTTAGTCTAACCTATGCAAACCTATTTAGTCTAACCTATACTTTTGTTGAATAAAATTGTAGAAAAAATATTTCTAACTTTTAATATTCTTTAATTAAGGAATCAACTTCAAAATAATATCAGATATGCAAGCATTGAGATGAGTAGGGTTTAAGCTATTGCTAGTTTTTTTGCTAAAATCCTATAAAAATTTAGATTTAGTGACATCTTTCTTGGCACATTTTGATAAAAAACTAACATTTTCCAAGTGGTTAAAGCATCTTAAAATGTTAGTTTTTAAGGCATTTTAACTAGTGATTGGACAAGACCAAAATGTTTCCAAATTCCAATTCTTTTGAATCTATTTTAAAGTTTATTTTAGTTTAGAAAAATTAATGATTTACATTACAAGCATAGTACATTCATTAAATTAATATACATCAAGTTTAAGAATGGAAAATGATTGGGAAATCCAGAATCAATCTTTCTAAAGCAACTGAACATTTTCTATTTATATGTAGATATGCATGATTTTATTGTGTAGTAGAAAGTAAATTTATAATCTTATTGCAGATCCTCAAAGAAATTACAACTAATTTCCTTTTGCTCAAAGAACTATCCTATTGTGTCACTTAGGGTTGCGATCTTTGGAAACTGCTTTGTTTGCTGACACGATGACCAGGGAAGGGGGAAGGTAATGAGAAGATGCACTTTTTTTTTAATGCTTCTCACAATTGGCCTCATAAATGATGTAATTCCATTGTATTTAACATTAAATGAGGTTTGGCAAATGATGCAATGAGACAAATGAATATCATCATCATTAGAGTTAACCAAGTTTTGAATTCATTTATTCAAGCCAGATTTTCCTAAATGTACAATTGCATGTACTTATTTGAAGAAAAGAAGAATCAAACGAATGCTTAGACTGATTCATTTTGAAAAATCAATTTTTAAAACTCAAATGGCAGTAAACTTAGCACAAACAATTATTTTTACTTAGAATCATGTGAAATGCATTTGGAAATTTAATGTATTACAGCATCATTTGTGAATCATAACAAAAACTTTAATAGTTAGTTATAATGGGAAAGTCATTTTATCATTAAAAAACACTTCTGTATAGGTTGAAACTAATTTAGCTTGAACAACACCTTAAATACCTTTTTTGGCAACACTTTAATTTCTATAAAAGAGCATTTTCAACCCCTTTTCACAGGACTGCATCAGGTTTAACAAAACCTATTTCCTCAACTCTCAAGACTTTCTCTATTTGTCGATCCACAAATCGAATAACTTCAAAATCGCCTTGGAACTATTTGATCCTATCGGACACCTCTCTCGTTCACTGCTACGAAGCTCACCAAGCTCGTTGCTATCAGAAGCTCACCTTGTCTGTCTTCACTTGAGGTTCAGTCTTTATACTGTGAGGTGACGTCACAATTCTGAATGAGATCACTCCCCTCATTTACATACTTATTTGCTAACAAACTTTTTTTTGTTTGTCTGGCAGCCTATTTTCCGACAATACTCGATAACCTTTTACATTATCCTTTTTGACAATTTTCGGGATGTTTTTTATTCTTTAAGGTTTAGCGAGTCCCTAAGTTGTGCTGGTGGGGTCTCCCCCCTTTTCTCGGTGCGGACTTACTTTTTTCCGCACAGGAGCGCAAGTGTGCGCGAGTTTTTTCCTATGGCGCTTTTCTGTCGTCGGTGAGTTGGTTTCTCTTCTATTTTTAAGTTTCTAAGGTGAATGGTGAGGAAACCTTTGCCCTAACAAAACATAAGCCCCAAACAAAAATATAATAAAAAGCAAAAATAAAAAGTAAATAAAAATAATGCTCGGACTTGGGTCCTTACAAAAGTAATAATAATAAATTTGGAGAAGAATATTTTACTGTGTTAATTCAGCATGCATTAGAAAAACATCTCACCATACAGATTATAATCTTTTAGTCAGCATACTAGTTATCATTCATTAAATGTTTCATTTTGGATTCGATTTTGAGAATTTAGACATATTGGGGATGCTCTTATATCAGCTTAATACATCTGTCTCAAAAATTTGTATCTGCACTTAAGGCATAACTGATTATACTTCAAATTTGCATTAGGTGGAAGTGCTCTCTTTTTAAATAACTTGTCTGCATGTTTTTATTGTAAAGATACATTTAAATTATATTTTAAAGAATTCATATTTATATAAAAATTTTGATTTCTGTAAAAGCTTTTCTTAACTGAATATCTGGATCTTAGGGATTTCTGAAATGTTTTGTGTTATAAGTATTGCATTTGGAAAAACTTTAATGTTCTTCAAAAGACTTAAAAATTAGTAATCATTAATTTATTTGAACTATTAAATGATATTTGAAATTTTAAGTAATTTTTTTAATATATGATATATTATTTAATTTTATTTAGATGATTTCAGAATATTTTGTGGAGACTTAGGAAATGATGTCACAGATGAAGTATTGACAAGAGCTTTTAGCAAGTTTGGATCATTTATAAAAGCAAAAGTGATTAGAGATAAACGAACAAACAAGACAAAAGGATTTGGTTTTGTTAGTTTTAAAGATCCTCAAGATTTCATTAAAGCAATGAGAGAAATGAATGGTAAGAGAAAAAATAATTTTAATTTATAAATTTTTGTACATTGTGAAAACTTTTAGATCTTACTCAAAATCTCATAATTTTATATATCTAATAAATATGTAACTTTTATGATTTAGCTCATTTAATAAAATTTACCTACTATCATAACTATCATATATTAAACTACAATTTCTGATAGATTCAGTGTCAAATGAAGAAACAATGTTCTTGTAATCTTTTTATATGGAATGCTAGTCAGTCTAATGTACTGTACACCATATCCCTTTGGAACCGGTTGTCCCTTACTGGAACACTGTACACCACAGGAACCCTAGTTCTGCATTTCAATTTAGAATATTATTGATCATATAAACAAAAGCAACCAAACCAAAACCAGCACCTATGTAATTAATAAATAAAGAAAATATTTAATAATGTTTTCGTCTATTTAAAATAGACATCATTAGGTATATATTACAAAACAAAAATGGCTACATATAAAAATCAAACACACTTTACATGTTCAAATTGACATTGTAAATGGAATGTGTTATATTTATAATTTAAAATTATATTCTTAACAAAATATATATGCATATTATTCAAAACTATCAAAAAATAATTTATTAAGGATGGAGTTGGTATTAATTTCAAAGAAACAGACCTACTGTCTACAGCATGATGTGCCATTTTTGAACTCTTGTAAACCATTTGAAGATACACCTCATTAGACAGTGCAGATATGAGTTCACATTAATGATAATTTAAACTAAATATGTTGTTGGTGTCAAAATAATTATTTTGAAATTAATTTATGTCATAAATTACTTTTTAATAGTTTTAAATAATATGCATATATATTTTGTTTGGAATATAATTTTAAATTATAAATATAATAGATTCCATTTACGATGTCAATTTGCACATATAAAACACAGGGAGCCATCTGGCGTAGCATGATAATAGAGGCCGGTTTCATGAGCATTGTAAATATCATCTGAACAAAAATTCTCTAAAAAAGTAGGGATTTTAGTTATTTTGCCACTGTTTGGCACTTACGTTATCTACACTGCCCTTTTCTCCGTGTGCTTTTTTTGTATTTGATATTATGTCTCACTTTCCATTGAGACAACCAACTATTAGTTGCTTTAAAATCACTGTGTGGCTTAGCTTTTTAGTAGTATTGCAATGAATAGTATATTCGGCCTCAGGCTGAATACCGAATATTCGGCCAGGAGCGTGGCCGAATATTCGACCAAACTATTTAGCTTGATTAACGCACATACGAAAATTGGCGCCAAACCGCATTATGGCAAGGACCCTGTTCTCTATTTGCCCGCTATCACTATGCTTCGCCAATCGCGTTAATTCTTGACAGTTGTAGCGGACAGACAAGAGCATCATGGCATTATGTGATAAATGATAAATCATGATATCAAATGTGGATAACAACGAAATTACCTACACATGTAAATAACGGGAAAGGAACAGAGAAGGACCGCAAAGTGAAAATGTGAAAATAAATATGAAATTGAGTTGACAACATAATCAAACAAGTCGAGGCAGCTTATTGGCGTGAAATTTGCGGCCGTCAATGCCAAACAATTGTTGTCATAGACTTCAGAAAGCTAAATGCTTGTAATGAAAGTCACTTAGCATGCACGGGCAAAAGCCTGAGGTTGTTCAGGCTACCAAGCTGTCTCAAATCTGTGAAATCATAACTGTGACTTATACCGATGTCCTATCTGTCTCTTTTCTCTGTTATCACCAGGCTATGAGTCACATAATTGTAAAATGGGAAATCTACGACGGAAAAGTGACGAATTGAAAGTATCTTGAACACGTATTATGGTGTATGCATAGGCATACGTGGACTAGAGCGATAGAAAAAGAGAAAGGGAAGAGCAAAGATGAGCACTTAAAAAGAAGGATAGGTGAGGTCAGATCCTCAGATGTGCGACGATCCTCGAATGAATAGGTTTATACATATGCTGACCTTTGTAATTATAAATTGTGAATACATGTGACTAATATTATTTTCTTTTTTATTTTGTGCATGTTATAAGTTATAAATAAATATAAACAAACAACACTAACCAGATAACATTAAATGTAAGTACCAAACTGATTAATTTGCTGTGTTTTTGTTATTTCTTACTCCTGTTTTTAGGTATTTGGTATTCGGCCAAATAGTGATTAAATATTCGTTACATCACTACTTTTTAGCAATCTCCTTGGACTTTGCCTTCAACACTGGACCGCTGATATTTATGTTCGATTTTTATATGTAGCAATTTTTGCTTTGCAATATATACTTGATTAGCTGTTACCCGCGACTTTGCCCACGGGGTTTTGCAAGCAAACCCCATTTATATTCAGTATTTCAACAATCGTAGTAATTGTTATACAGTGGAACCCCGGTTAACGAACTTAATCCGTTCCGCGACTCCGTTCGTTAACCGAAGCAATTTTTCCCATAGAAATTAATGCAAATGCAATTAATCCGTTCTTGTCTCCGAAATTTTTGTGATTTTATTTGTAATACACAGTAGATTTTCTTTGATGAAAATGTTGGAAAACGTAGTACAGTATCTATTATTACAGCAACAAACATGTAAACTTTATTTAATAAAATAGCACTGTACATACCTTCGTTTGTTGTAGTTGGTGGCAGAAAAGTGGAGATATACGAACCTTACCTTCAGGGTACTAAGACCGCTTAGCCAACGAGTGGCTAAGCGGTCTTAGTACCCTGAACAGGGGGAGTTCGTTCGTGAGTTCACACCTCGCTCAGACGGGCTGGCCACGTGGAGTTTCCGAGTTTTCTCCACGTCTGTTACGCCTAAATAGGGGCCAGTTTCCCTTAAAAACACCTCCCAGAAAGCATTCCCCGTAGGCAGATCGCCCAAGTGTTGCGTTGCCATAACTTAAAAAACAAACAAACTCTTTTCGTAAGAAACAAGAAATTGATCTAAAGTTGATTGTCTTACTCTTTTAATAATCAAAATTTTTCTCAAATGTGATAGCGCATTGTCGTTTATATTGCGTTGTCGTTTTCTATTGTCACTACTGTATAACTTTTTTCTTTCTTGGATTATTGATTAAATATATAAATCACAAAACTGAAAAAAGAAGTACTGTATAGCACAAACATTCGGAAAAGCAATGCTTAACTCGCGCATGCATAACACCAACTAAAATTTGACACAAAATACCGTTACGTTCGTTATCCGAATTTTGTTCGTTATCCGAGACAAAATTTTTGCAAAATAAAAGTTTGTTAACCGATTTGGTCGTTAACCAGGACGTTCGTTAACCGGGGTTCCACTGTATAACACCTACTGCTGAGAATGATGAGAATTGCTGTGAATCAAACGAACTATTTTCAATTTGATCAATTTTCTGGAATGTTTACAATCATTCTATAATTGAACCAATATGCAATAACAAATTCGAATTTAAAACAGTTCGAACATTTGGTTAAAAAATCAAAATATATGAAAATATAACAGTGTCTGAAATGTTATCAATTTAATACACCTAAGTACTCAATGAAGACTAAATGCAGATAAAAACAAAAAATTGCATTTAAAATAGTACAGTAGAAGCCATTCTTCTGGTTAAGCCTTAATCTTCTCCCTCTCCCCCACTGTGGGGGAATTTTGAAAAATCCCTTCTTAGTATGCATTTTCATGACGTACCCTAACTGTGTACCAAATTTCAGCTCTTTAGGTTCAGCGGTTTGTTCTGGGCAATGATGAATCAATCAGTGACTCAGTCAGGACAAGTAATTTTATATATTTAGATGATGTCTATTTTCAATAGATGAAAACATTAGTAAATATTTTCTTTATTTATTAGTTACATAGGTGCTGGTTTTGGTTTGGTTGTCTTTGAATATTGTTGACCTGAGGCAGATCTTGTATAAGATTGAAAATGTTTGTTGAATTTACATTAATATTATTTACTCAATTGTAAAGGTTTTGTTTGATATACTTAGTTATTAAGAAGGTAATTTCGTTGTCATATTAAGGCTGTGTACACATTAGGCGTTTTTAAATGCGCGTTTTAAAGAACCAAGAGTTCTGCATAAGTATACATATTCAAACGCACGTTGATAGATTTTTGTTAGAACACGTGTTTTGTGGGCGTCAGCCACGTGCTTTGAGATATATGTGCTGCCGTGTTATTGTACATTCAATCGCGCGTTTTTAGGTAGAGTGGACGCATGTTGGCCAAAATGGAGAACGATCATTTCGATACTGATCTATTTATTGATGAAATCTAAAAGAGACCAGCCATCGTCAAATGATTTTATAGATATTCTAAAAGAATTTAAAAATTTGGGTTCATATTGTCTTAGTTTTGGATACAACGTCACAAACATTCCATGCATCAGTCTATCTCGTAATATTGGGTGCACCCAAAATTCTCTTTGCTTTTTGCCATCGTTTTTTATAGTGACGATGGAGGAGGCACACACAACCAATTACTTTCACGTCCATTTCCAAACTGAGCCAGTGCGCACGCTCCTCTAAACAGTCGTTGAACGCTGAGTTAACGCGGTGTATGTACGCTGCTAACGTGCGTTTAACGCAACACAAAACACTTAATGTGTACACAGCCTTATTATTAATTTCCAGAAATACAATTTGAACTATAAAATACTAAACCCAAATTGCCAATAAAAGAAATGAATTGTTTTACTTAATCATAATAGAAAATTTATGTAATCCTTATCAGTTTTAAATGTAGTTTGTAATATAGAGATGTAGTTATAAAACAAATGTACTATAAAGGACTATGGAGTGGTATGCAAAATTTCTGACTTCAATACTGATTTCAGCTCCTCAGTTTTTAAATATACAACTCCATTTTCTTCATAAAAACTCAATATGTATTAATAAGATTAAAATGGTATAGCATTTCATCACTAGTAATCACCAGATTACTTTTTAGGCTTTAAATCTACATTTAAATATAGGTTTAAGTTCATATCAAGTTGGAGCAATTTTACATGTAGATTTTAACGCTATACAAAATTGCTCTAATTCTGATTCCAGTT